AAAAATCGTATGTCAAGAACGAATTGAGATATCATAATGAAATAAAGAACATTTTAAAGCAAATTTAATGAAGATTTAATGCGCTATATATAATTTATATTTTCTATAATCATCGTTGTTATGATACAGCCGCTCAAACACGATACCTAAAAAACTACTCATTCGATTGACTTGAAATTTAAACTGGACTTTCAAATAGCATCTTTCTATCGTATGACCTACAAAGAAACTGATACGGTACATACATATGTTTTTTTTGCAATAAATTTATCGATTTCATTAACAATTGTCTTAATTTGACTAAGCACCACTTTGCCAATAATGTTTTTTTTGCTTAGTTTCAGTTCAAACGATAATCACAAGTATATAGAAAAGAAAACCAGTTGATTTTTGAGTTTCAGATCATTACAAGGAGAATATGTGTCAACCAGCAACTTAGACAATCCACGCACCAATTTGGTTGAGGGACAATGTAAATATTATTTTCTATAAACAGCTCTTCTTAAATAAGTGAATATATCATGAAAACATATGGAAAAGATTTAATTGAAGTACCACATAATTTGGCAGCCAAAAATTCCCAAAGAAATCATTTTATTTGATACAAAAAAAGAGACAGCACCCTTAAAAAGCATGTATTAGATTATACTAGCATTATTTGGAGTGCTTTTACACTCAATTTCAAATTATTTCATGTTTTGACAATGTTAATAATTAAAGCTTTATAATTGTTCAAGCACAAAATGTAAAAATTTATTGAGTGCTATCAAATTTTAATGGTTAACACTTCCTGCAAAAGAATCAGGTGCCTAACAAATAATTAAAACAAAGCACCCTAGACGTTGTATTATGGATATGCATCATCCCTTATTCTGTGTCATGAAATATAAATTAAAAAAAATCATATCTCAAGAACGAATTGAGATATCATAATGAAATAAACAACAGTTTAAAGTAAATTTAATGTAAGTTTCGTAAATTTCGTCGTTATGATTTTTTAAATCCAACTCTGTATATTTGAATGTTATAGATATGAAATATAAATTTTGAAATTTCTTTTTTATGCGGAATCTTGTAGTTTAGGGTTTGGATCGTCGATGGTATTCTTTCCAATCGACTCCTAATTTTATATTAAAGGACAGGAAATCTCGCTTTTAATTGTCCGAAACAACGTTCAATAATGACACGTTCTTGACAGAAAATGTTATTATAATTTTGCTGCTGTTGGGCTGTAGGATTTCTCCAGGGAGTCATAATTCCTAATCCAAGGCGATATAGAGTAACCATCGTCTCCTAGCAATACAGATTCTTCTGTAGGTACTGTTTTTAAGAATGCTATATATGTTAGAATTTTAAAAAATTCTGCTATTGTGTACAGATCCTGGCTATTGACAGTCTACGCTAGTAAAAATTTCTTTTGCAATACATGTTGTCTGTACGTTAATACTGGGGTATCCTTTTCGGTTTATATATTCATCTCCGAACTCATGAAACTTTGGAATTCTAATATCTGTGCAGTCTATCGCACCGATGACAGATGGAAAACGATATCTCTCTGACCATAACAGTTTAGCTTCTACAAAATCTTCAGCACTTCTAGGAAATCTAATGAAAATATTAGCTTTTTCCAAAAGTACATGCTTTAAGAAAGTAAATGTCTTACAGACAGTACTCTGATGAATACCGAGTTCTTCAGCTACAAAATTTTGAAACCCCGAATCGAATAACTGCCGCAGAAAGATTTTCATCTGCTGTATAGGTGATAATACAGCACCTCGCCTTTCACCACTATCAGTCAAAAAGTAGTTTGCTAGCTACTCAACATTTTCGCGATCAAACCGATATAACTTTCTGAAATCATCGTCTCTGCAATTTTTGCGTACACTGTATATTTTTCGTTTACGCACATTCATATATTCAGCCATAATTAAAAAGGCTTAAATGAATAGGAACTCACGTGTATGCCGTAGAGATTCAAAGCTGACTGTACAAGCAACTGATGCAGAGATCGACCTACCTTACAAATATGGAAGCAATTGCCATACTAGAAAAAGCAATTTCTTAGTTTATTCATAACATTTTAAGCATATGTAAGCAATTGCATCTATTTTTTAAGAAAATAATTCGACTAGAAGCAATTTCTGCACTTTTAAGCAATTGCTAGCAGCAAGAGTAATTACTTCAATTTTTATTCATTGGTTTTCAAGTATTTGTTTTGATTTTGAAAGAAAAAGCAATTGCTAAAATTTTATTCATTAGGGCCAATGTTTGAAAGGACTGGGGAGTACTAAGCAGGTAATATTCCCAAATCACTATTTACACTTAAACTAAAACTAGAACTAACACGAGCGCTATCACTGGAACTAAAGAACACTTCGAACTTGTTTCTGAAGAAGGTTGCAACATGGCATCCGAAACGTTAAACATTTTTTCAAAAAACGCACGGCTTGTATGTATGTATGTACAGGGGTGCGTAATATATTTTTTATATTTTATAAGATAAATTAATTGTAATATTTCCTACTTCTATATAGTTTTCGGCTGAGGATGGAGTTGTAAACTTCGAAACCGGTCCCGATTAAAATATTTGTGCAAGTGCGAAGTTCACATATTTTGTTTTATTTTCATATTTATACAAGGTGATTTATAACATACGGAGCAGACTAAAAGGGTAGTTAGTAGGGGTCAAACTGAAAAGATTTGCTTAATAATGTTATTTTAAAAACTTAATAGTTACATAGATATCGCATGTTAATTTTTTAAATAATTTAACGTCCATTTTTGAGAACCGCGATATTCAGTAAAGAACAATAAAAATATTTGTCAATATCATCCTCATTTTTGAAAGAGCTGTAAATATAGACAATTTATTGTTTCAGTAGTTTTGTTATTTTAGATAATAGAACCCTGAGGTACTCCCAGCTTGAGTTCCCTCCAAGCTGATCTTATTTTTCTTCGTTGTTCACTATGGGCAACTACACATTGTAACCTCCCTGATAGATAGAATTTCATCCATGATAAGCTAACGCCTCTAAAGCCAAGTCTCTGCAACTTGGTCAAAAGGATTGAATGATGTACTCTATCAAAGGCTGTTGTAAGATCCATGAAGAATGCTGTTGTGGCCTGTTTTCCACTTTATCCCAAGATAATATTTTCCAACAGTTGAAACATCGCAAGTTCGGTGGATCTTCCCTTCCGAAAACCATTTTGATTCTCGTGCAATATATTATATTTGTTTAAATAATTTATATTCTGTTGTGTACAAGCTTGTCATAAAATTTTTGCAAGATTCGATATGAGTGCTATTTGACAATAGTTATCATAGCAGGACTTGTCTCCTTTCTTATAGATTGGGATTATTACTGTCTTTGTCAACTCATCCGGAAAACGGCAGTCAGTGCAGGATGTTTATTAAATGCGTTAGCGGTTTAACCAAGTACATTGCAGAATGCTTTAGCACGCTCGTAGATATTTCATCTTCACCGGTTGCCGTTGTGTTATTTAAATTATTTATTATTTGTAGGATTTCAATTTCGTCCGTTAAGTATAATGAGAAAGTGTTAAGTGATGACCAACATTGTTATCAATATTTTGACAAATCTTTATAAAATAGTCATTTATTTCCGTCAGAATATTTAAGAACTGCTCATTTGCAGCTTCAAAATCTGCTGGCTTTATACCACTTGTGGTAGCTTTCCCTTGAAGACGGTTTATTAGTTGCCAAGACGCTCTTGTTTTATTATTAGAATTAATAATATAATCTGCATTTCACTGTTTTATAGTAGTTTCAATTTCACTCTTTAATAATTTACTATAATTACTATTATAATAATTATTCTTGTGGCTTTCGTACATTTGTTTCTTTTTATTGCTTTTATACTTGTTTCTTTTATTTATTCTTATTTTTTAGGTAGACACCGATAGGCATGTTTTGTTATTGTTACAATTAAATAAAAGTATGTATTTAATTTTGAATGTTGAGTTTATTACACTGAGTATTGATGGAAATATTGGTGCCAACCCTACACGGTCAATAGTATTGTCAATATCTCCTTCAATTGTCAGTATTAATGCCCGAAAATCAGAAAATCCGGATTTTTATCAATACTCCATCAATATTTACCGTCAATACAATTTTTCATCTTTACAATGTCAATATTATTGTCCATATGCTAAGTTATTGTTATTATTATAGATCGTGTAAGGGCCGCGTAATACCTAACACTATGAGGATGTTATCAAAATTTTTATTTTAATTTTGTGTATCTAGTTTAGGAGGATTGACACTAAACACGATGATGTTACGATCAGAAATAATATTAAGTATTTTCTTCCTTTTATTAAATAAAATGAAGAAAACTGCAATTGATAATAAATTCTAATACCAATGTTTCTATTTTTTAAACTCTAAAAAAGTAAAAATTCATATAGATCCCTCTTTTTATTCCTTTCATTCTTATTAAATCCAGTAGGATACATTTTTTTACCGTACAGAATACTCTCCATAAAAAAGTAATTTAGCTGAATCTCTTTGAGTACAAAGAAAATATTCAGTTAAAATTTATGGTCCCATTCTGTGGTTTCAAAGACAATTCCGGAGTATATGAGCTACGAAATTGCTTCCTTAAACAAACTGCGCTTTAATTTACTCGTTTACCGACGGCAGTAAGGCAAATTATTTAGATTAGCCGGAGACCGTGCGCGAAATACAGGTGGTGCACGGAAAAGCAAATTACAGTTTTTCTGATGCCATGTTGCACCTTTTGCTAATCGTATTTGTAGCTATGGTAGCACCAATTTAATGGAATTATTTTTCTCCTCAGCGACAAACTTTGTTTTAAATAAGACACCTCTAATTTTCTTTTTGCTTAAACAACACGTAATGTTTTTAAATTTCTTTTATCTTTATTATGTTTTATCTAGATAAACGAATTTTTTTTTTGGAACAATTTAATTAATACGTTATTTCATTGACACATATTAGTTGCACACTTCTAGATATGATAACGTAATTATATTAGATATAAATATAATCGAAAGTCGCGCAAAATCTGTACCATTAGATTAGAGTAGCAACAAAAGGTGGTGACGTACAATCGTTTAAATGTTTCTCTAAAGAAAGAAAAGACGGGGATTATGTTTCGTTACTTTCATTTAGTGCTATTTTTCATTTGTACGGTACAAACAACGAACGGTAAGTAAGGAAGGCAGTTTCGTGGGATGAAACTTTAGTGAAAAAGCTCCGAGAATATAAGAACTACACCAAGACGTAATGCATTTCAGGTCTTTCCATTCAACCAAAAGTGGTAAATGGAACTGACGCAACGGACGGAAAATATCCTTATGCAGTAAGTTACGTATTATACTCAAACATAACTTTTGCATTTTTCAAAATATATTCGTATCTTTTTATTAACGTGATTACTTCTTGCTTTGTGTTTAGGTTTCGGTGCGATATTTTGGATACCACGAATGCGGAGGATCAATTATAGGGGATAGATGGATATTGACGGCCGCCCATTGCATTTATTCGAGGTACAATATAAATTATCGGAAACGTTGTCCAAACGCTTTTAAATTAATTTAAATTCGGACATGGGGATAAATGTGATACAATCCATAAAGCGGTTTTGCGGTATTCAAACGTTATTTATTTACGTCGAACAATTAGTGTTTGTTTGGATTTATGGAATTTTAACTCAAAATCTAATCAATATTATTATTATGGTCGAAACTGGAAATCAGTCAATGTGATTTAGCCAACAACTCTAAAATTCAATTGAATTAGGTTTATTGTCGAAAAGTTCCAATGCTGTAAACAATCCAAGCGCATAAAAATTAAATTTTAATGAGCCAAACTAAAAGTATAGATCCAAAAATAATCTAACCAAAATAAATAAATACCCAATTTTCAGAAGATTCAATCTTCTCTTTTTTCCCTTTGGTCAAGTAATAAATTCAAGTTTACACCGGGACCGATATAACTTTGATAAATGACCTGAGTGGAAGTTGCAACACCCCATGTTTCTCTTACTCTCCTCGCGCACAAAACGAAATATTACCCACGATATATTACAACATACAGCTTTAATTAATATTAATTCCTATGCAATATCAATTTAAATAATAATCACGCTTCATTTAAGCCTCGTCAGTAACGCAACGGTTCTTTACGGAACGGTTCACCTACAGAACGGCGAAAGTCCGGAGAGCTACACGGCGAAGGTAATTCAATTAATTCAACATGACCGATATACGGCTCTAGCTCCCAGCTACGAGAACGATATTGGATTAATAAAGGTGAGCCACTTATTTATATAGTGTGCGCTTATATGCCGTTTGCAAACTGTTAATTATTTTACTATTTAAAGCTCAAAGAACCGCTTCAATTTAATGATCGTGTTCAGCCAGTTAATTTAGCTGAAAGTGTATCTCCAACTCCAGCTGGAGAGTCCGGGGTTTTAGTTGGATGGGGATATGAGATAGTAAGTGAGTTAAAATTTACATTTGAAATTCTCAAAGAAAACTGGAATCGAAATAATTTTTTAGGATAATGGATCCGTTCCTGAAATTCTTCAACAAGTTGAATTAATGATTTATTCTGATGTGGCTTGTTTTGAAGCACATCACGGTGAAGCACAAATACACGTACATCTTTGTGCAGGATATCCGGAAGGTGGCAAAGGACAATGCACTGTAAGTATTTTAAACAAAGAATTAAAGGCACTTACGATATTCGTATATTAGGGCGACTCTGGAGGACCTCTTACGGTGAACGGGACACAATACGGTATCGTTTCTTGGTCGGTAAAACCGTGCGCTGTTGCAGGATATCCAGGAGTTTATTCCAAAGTTTCCACTTACAGACAATGGATTTATAATAAAACTGGAATATAAAAAGAAATATTACTTTTCTTTTAACATTAAACGTACACAGCAATAAAACTTATTATTTGATTCCTCAAGCCATACCACCAATAAAATAAAACAGTTTTTTCACTTTATTTATCAAAAATTTATTTTAACTAAATAGCATTAAAATGAGATTAATTGCTAATACTTACAATTGCTGTAATAGCTATTCAAAAGTAACAAAAATATAAATAACAACTAACTAAGAAAGTTGTAAAAGTACTGCATGTTGAGATTAACCAATAATATATGGCACAACAAATAAGAATTTGAAATCGTTTTTTACAGCTCCCCCCAATTACAATAATCCTCCTTTGTAGCAGCAATGTATTCATCGATAAGATCTTGTACAACCTCTCTACTATCATCCAATTCACTCAAATCTTCTTTGAAAAGATCCTCTTTACGAAATTGTTCCAAGAAAGCTTCACGTTTTCTTAATTTATCATATTGAAGCAACGCTCTTTCAAACAACTTCAACAAATACAAATTAAAAAATAAACAATAAACAATTTAAAAAACTTACAGAGCTTATATTTGTGTGATTAGCCAACATAAGACCAGAGACTCTGTGAGCTGTTTGAATGTAAGGAGATTTCCGCGATAAAGCAACTTGAATGCTTGCAGGGCCCCATGGGATAAACTGCGCCAATTTTCTTTCTCTAATTCTTTGTAAAGATTTATGAACTTGTGTTGGATCTACTTCACCCTTAATAATAAATACATAAATAAATCAAGTCCAACAAACAATTTGGAACTTACTTGAATGATATTCAAGATCGAAATAAAACAATGTTGAGAGTTTCTATCTTGAGTAGTTGAAACCATCATGTTTTTAGGTTGAAGAAGACGCCGCATTACATCTAAAACGGTCGTTTTTCGAACGCTTACTTCATCTGTGTCTGTTGAAAGAGGTGTGTAACCAGTCATTAAGAAATGTAAGCGAGGTGTTGGGATTAATGGTGCTAATAAACCCATCAAATCATTGTTCATATAAGACGGATATCTAAAAAATTATATAAAACATTACTAGTAATATCAAAATACCAATATACCTCATGTACATTTTGAATGTAATAAAAAATAGCAGAAAATAACTGTAATAACCCTAGAGGATCGATAGAATAACAAGAAAAGATAATGAAAGTGGAAATAAAGAAGGGGTGTTATTGTCCCAGAGGTTGAATATTTAATACATTATTACAGATATTGATCAACGTGAGAAAATTACTTCATGTTTTTTTTTTGCTTTATTAAAGAAATATGAATCAAAAAACTTACCGTAATGTAGCAGTTGAAACAGACATAATTGTGCTGACCAAACTATTAATTTGAGTAAAAGTAGGATTTTGAATCCTTAATCGATCTGCAGCAATTCTATTCAAAGCTGTGTTATCCAAAACAACAACAGAATCAGCAGATTTAGTTAATCGTTTTAAGGTCAATAAAGAATTATATGGTTGAACAACCACATCACTAAAAAAGAATAAAAAAATACAATTACATTCTAACCATGAAAAAGTATTTCTTCTTAAACAAAAATACTTATATTAATTAAACTAAATAAATAAGTATATCACAGAATAATAAGTTATTCTGAATTATAAATTATTGAAAGAAAAATCAATATTGGTTTTCTTGAAGTAATAATTTTAAGTTTTTAACTGTAATTTTAAATTGAGGCTAACTCGAATATACCAGTAATAACACCGTTAATATTGGCTTTCAAATGATACATTACTATTCGTACGTTATTACTCATACATCTAGAGGTATGTAAAGTCGGCACTTCACATATTCCCATGGAAAATAGGCAATAGGTGTGATATTATCTGATCATGTAGTATGTTTCTTGAAAAAAATTTGTTGTATTGTACATTATTTATTTTCTTGTTATGCATAATCATTAACGAAATATGTGCCAAACATTCCCCCAGCACGTGAATTTCAAGTTGACATCATAAGTGGTCATCATCTGGGTAAAAATTTGCCTGGTTATTGATAACTTTGATAAGTATAATAAAAGTTGAAGTGTAGTTCTTGTTACGCATAATCATTAACGAAATATGTGCCAAACATTCCCCCAGCACGTGAATTTCAAGTTGACATCATAAGTGGTCATCATCTAGGTAAAAATTTGCCTGGTTATTGATAACTTTGATAAGTATAATAAAAGTTGAAGTGTAGAGACTAAAAGTAACGACAAAATTATCAAAGCTTGTGGTTGGAACAAAGAGTTAATAACGCAATAAATATTTAGGCCTCCATTCCCAAAATGTGCAGCAATGTGTACAAATTTTGTCAAATTGCTCGGGACTAAACCATTATCAAATTCTTTTGACTGCCGACATTTCCTAAGTACAAAAAAATGTAAAACCGTTTGAACTCTTTTAAGCGAAGATATCAGTCCAAAATAGAGTGAAATATAAAAACAAATAGAAACAACATAAATTTTCGACGCCAGTCAACAACATGAAGATAAAAGCATAGCGTATTATACAACAAAATTATAGAAATTAACTACAAATGACGTATATTTAAAATCTTAATTCATACAAGAACTTCGAGACAATAACATACGAGAAAGATTGCTACAACAAATCGAATCTTAAAAAAAAATCATTATAATTAGTCTTAATCATAAATCTCATAAAATCTGTGAAATTGGAAAACAAACTTTGCAAAAAAGACATTAAAAACAGCTAAGCATTGTATTGATAAAATAAAGAAAAATGCAAAATTTGAATTCGGAAAAAAATATAAGAAAGTTAAGAAATATTTTAAATGTAGAAAATCGACTCACATAACATACAAAAGCTACAAAACAAAAAAAAAAGTTCGCATAACATCAATTAGTATAAGAAGAATAAGTTGAACAAGATTAAGTAAAAGAAAAAACAATATAATAGTTACACAATAAAAACTATAATAAATGCTATTAGTTCAAGTCTTCTTCTTCCAGCTGTACAGTCCTGTGTAGACTTTGGCTTGTTTTACAATACGGTGCCATTCCGATTTGTCAGTCACCACATGCCACCAGTTTCATACTCCAAGCGTTCTAACTTCCTCCATCACATCATTCTTCCATCATTCTTTGGTTTTCCTCTAGCTCTCTGTCCCTGTGGTGGGTGTCCATTGTACAATTCTTTTCACTCCTCCATTACCCTTTCCAAATGTCCCAGCCATGCTATTCTCTGTGCTTTTATGTGTCGTACTATATCTGTACCATTCATGAGCTGATCCAATTGGTGGTTCATTCTTATTCTCCACATTCCAGCGCCATCCAGTATCGATTCATATATCTTGCGCAAGATCAATCGTACCAAGACTCTTAATGTGTTTTCATATCCTGTCAACACGGTCCATACTTCGCACCTATACAGTATATTTAATTTTAAGTGTCAGAGCAGCTATCTTGATTATTGTTGGAGATATGACAAAATGTTATAGAAGATATAAAATATAAAATAATTCAGCATTAAATGTGTTAAATACAGAGAATTCATTGAAAATTTTAAATGAAACATGCCCAACTTTATTACGTATTATAAAACGACAAAATCTGTTTATAACGATATAGCACATGCCATAATTATCTATCAATTAAAAACATAACTCGCTAAGTAGGAAATGCACGCTTACGCAAATTAGTTTCATTCCAAAGAAAGTAGGAAGTGAAACAAATGAAACTACAACATAAACAAAATAATAATAAATTAATAAGGAGTCTAAGTTAAAATGAAGTTAAAATTTTGGATCATAACATCTAAAGTGTTTGTACAATATTACCCCCGTTGTTTACAATACATTCTCGAAATCTGTTTATTAAATTTCTTTTGGCTTTTTACAACATGTGTTGGGTTATTTGGTCACTGGCCCTACGAATACGATTTGTAAGATCATCTCTACATCTTGTGAACAAGTAACATAATCTTGTTATTTAAGACAACCCCACAAGAAAAAATTTAAAATGGATAAATCTATCGATCTTGCTAGCCAATTACTGGGGCCACCATTTCCTATCCACTTTGCATCAATCTTTTCATTTAAAATCTTCTTGTCGTTTCGTGCATTGTAGAATTTGTTGTGACATATTACAACGTATTTGCAGAGATAGGAATGATCTTCGAAATTTCGCTATTATTGAAATTGCTCCAATGTATTAAATTTAATAACTTTAAAGTGCTATTCAGCCAATTACAAAATAATATTTAATTGGTTATTTCTTTCCATCTCAATTTTAATATAATTGAAATAAAACTACGTGTATTTAATGGATGGTTTTTTAATTTTCGGCTCTACCGGTTTCGATTGTTACATTCAATCATCTTCAGGAGTCAGCCACCTAGTGTAATACAAATAAAGAACATTAACTAAAATTAACTAAATTAACAAGGTAACAAAGAGAAGAAGAAATAAATAATAATTAGAATCAAGAAGAAAGCAGCTAAAATAATAAACAAGATATGTTTTTTTAAAAATATGTTTAATGACGTGAGTTTTCGTTTTATTTATAATGTAACAATAGCAATAGAAATTTTAAATGTTTTAAGTTGATGATTGAACTGATGATTCAATGTAGAATGTAGCATCTATAAATACACATAGTTTTATTTCAATTATAAATTACAAAATATCACCTTCCTGTCAAAATTACCATCTCTTAAATCTTGTACTAATTTAGTTTTATACTGAGTCATTTTCATGTTTTTCTAAATAGAACATGTTTTGTATAGACTTATCCTAAATCAGATTATTGTACTGTACAGAATGTACAGATTATTGTACTGTACACAATGTACAGATTATTAAAACAGCCATTCGTAAATTACTTTCGAGCTTTGTAAAAGTACGCAGATGTCGATGTCTCCTTGCTGAATACATAGCTTGATACATAGCATAACTTAGCACATCTATTTTTTCATTGTTAGAATAATAATATTTAAGATGAAAATAACGTAAACAAACGTAGCAATTTACTTAATCAGTTTGAACACTGTTCAACTCGAGCTCACAAATAATTTCATTTGTTCTGATCAACCAACGTAAGCGTGTATTTGCTACATAATTAACAATTTGTGTTTTTAATTGATTAGATAACTGTGACGTGGAATATATCTTTATAAATAGATTTTTTTACAGTTTTATAATACCTAATAATATAATTTGGCACATTCCATTTAAAATTTTAGATGTAGGTACTCGTTATATCTAACACATTTGATGTTCTTCTTGAGTTGCTGTTTTTTGTAGTAATTGTTTTTTTTTGAGTATGGCAGATAACAGAATATTCCTTCTATAACATTTCTCTAACAATAATCAAGATAACTGCTGTGACAGCTAAAATTAAACACACTGTATGTTGGTCTTATAATATAGCGATAGATCTTAAGTTTCGATTCTCTCGAAGATGTTGATAGAATTCTGAGAAGAAATTGAATTAACTATACAGGTGCCCATTATGTATGGAATATAGTATATATCTCGGTAAATGTTGACTTTATCAAAAAGCATTTTATACAAAAGTTGTTTAATATTTTATTTGCCATAATAACACTGAATTCGATTGTTTTTATTCAGAAAACAAATGAGTAACGAATAACTCTAGAATTTTTTTAAACGGCAATATACCCTTCCCTTAGGCTCATTTGATAGAGATTACTTTTCTCTGTACGATGACGTAAAATTTTTGTACCCTTATATCAGAAAATTTTTGTAAAAATCTAAAAATTGTTTATTAATAAAAATTAATCAATAACATTAATCTAGATATCCGAGATCGTTAAGTACCTAGAATTATTACCGTAAATTAAATTTACATACAAAATAAAAGAAATAAACGAAAAATTAGTGTAGATCTATCAAATGAGCCTAACGAAAGTGTACATTGCCATTTAAAAAACTTCAAGTGTTATTCGTTGCTCATTTATTTTGCTGTCTTATTATGGCAAATAAAATATTAAACAACTTTTGTTTAAAATGTTTTTTTTATAAAGTTGATACGTACTAAGATATATACTATATTCCATACATAATGGGCACCCTGTATAAAGATCTATTGAAAGAAGTATATAACTAATTGTAAGAAAATTAATATACAAATTGCACAAAGTTGGCAGCCAATACTTAGAAAAGTACTTGGAAGAATAAGCTCAAAATGAAATTAATACCGTACACGTTGAAGGGAAAAAAATCGAGAGGAAATCAATAACCCAGAAGAAGCTTTTTATAGATTACACAAGAAAGGGAAATGTGAACTCTATAAAGATGCAAGCAATTAACATTTACAAAGTTGAAATAGTTTATACCCCCTACCAGATAGAATTTAAACGATCGCTGATACTTAACAACGTGAACGATGTAAGGACATTTTTTGGACATATAAATAATTATGAAAAGTTCTTGTGGCCTCACAAATTACTTCAATAAATAAATTACTGAAAGAAGAAATTACTAAACCAATATTGTAATGATCAGTGAACANTTAAGATCGTTTAAATTCTATCTGGTAGGGGGTATAAACTATTTCGGTCAATTTTGTAAATGTTAATTGCTTAGATCTTTATAGAGTTCACATTTCCCTTTCTTGTGTAATCTATAACAAGCTTCTTCTGCGTTATTGATTTCCTCTCTTTCCTCTAATTTTCTAAGTATTGGCTGCCAATTTTATGTAACTTATATATTTATTTTCTTAGTTATATAGTTCTTTCAATACATCTTCATACAGTTAATTCAATTTCTTCTCAGAATTCTATCAACATCTTCGAGATAATCGAAACTTAAGATCTATCGCTATATTATAAGACCAAGAACAACATATAAAGTGTTTAATTTTAGCTGTCACAGCAGTTATCTTGATTATTGTTAGAGATATGACAAAATGTTATAGAAGGAATATTCTATTATCTGACATACTCCAAAAAAAACCAACAACTCAACAAGAACATCAAATGTGTTAGATATGAGTACATCTAAAATTTTAAATGGAATGTGCGAAATTATATTATTAGTATATTAATTATAGGTATTATAAAACTGATTCATGGCATGATTCAAAACAATTACTCAGTCAAATGGAACAAATAATCGATTCAATCTAAGGCATTGTGTAGACCTTTTATGCTCAACAGAAAACATGTTCCTCACTGTTGACGTTCTCTTTTTAATGAAATATTGCCTCTTCGCAACCTAAGCTCAGTCGCGGATACAAAATCATTAGACATGTTTTCAATAGGTATACAATACCTACTTGGCAATAACTTTTCTATTCATACATTGAAAACACCTTTTCCAACTGTATTTATAAATTAATCCATAATTTGCATCTACACTGATTGAAAATCCTAATTATTTTAATTACCATAAATTAGCCAAATATTTAAAATAACATTATTTTAAAGAAACTAATTTAGGAAAAATAGAAAGCTCAAGAGACAAACTTATAAGAAAAATTAAACAAGATTAGATTTTGATGGAAAATAGATATTCTGATAGAAATAGAGATTCTGATAGATAGAAATAAATTCATTCATACAAATATATTATTAAACCCATTATTAGGTCTTCAGGTTAACCTGTAACAACAAATACCCTAATTGCTAATGTCACCTATTCCTGCTAAAAATATCATTAAGTGCCGATTCAACAGTCGCAAGATAAACTTGGTATAAGTATTTCTCGGTGTAACTTGAAAAATCAGTTCACCACACCGCCGTTAACTCTTCCCACATGGCTTATAGTAGTTTCCTTTTAATTTATAATTCACGTAAATCGATCTAAGAAATTAAAGAGACATTTCTTTGAAAAACTTTTAACGGGATTCGACAAACGCAATTATTTCACAAATTTTGGTTAAAACCGTTTTGATGTCCATCCAGCTGTTTTCGACATAACCGCATCCTAAAGTATATTAAACCGCGATTTTCCATTAAACTATATGGAATATGGAAAAAATAAAACATGTTCCTCATTAAGAACACGCCAGCCTTGTTCAAAATTGAAATTTTTCGTCAAATATTTTTTGAGAAAAAAAGTGCTACGTGGATGTTGCCGGTTCTCTCAAATCGGGTACTTTTTTCATTTAACGCGATTTTACTAAAACCGTGAGGGCAAAAAATGTTAAATACACAAATGAGTAGCTTAGGATCAAAAGCGGCCAAATCCACAATTTGTCATTTTCGGTATTATTTTATTTTGCAACTCTAGATAGCTGTCTGTATGTTTTCCCTGTCTCATTTGTGTTAAAACAGACCATATTCCATGGAAATTATTGCCTAAATTTTGAGTTGCAAAATTGGCCAAATCCACTGCTGTTTGTCCATCTAAAGCAATTTTTGTTCATTGCGGTTATTACATTGTGTAATATGGAAATTAACATTGAAGAAGAAACTGATTCTTATTCAAGGAGAATTTTCTTATAGAAATTCAAGGGAAAATGTGTAAACAAAGCAAATCCTAAACGAATTTCTACCGGAAGGATCATAAATGCTTCTAAAGTTCACGATGCAGCAGATTGATTCCCTTGAGTTTTACAAGAACATCATTGTTTCTCAAATGGCTTCTAAAAATGAACCGGGCGAGGAAGAGTTTACTGTAGAAGAGAATATTCTTTGTGAAAAGACCCCAGAAGAAACTGAAACAAGAATTTAGTAGATCCTTTACTGCGTTGCGCAATGTATTCTGTTTTATCCTTTAACCCTTTGTATCCCAAGAAGTCAAAAATATTGAAACTTTGTGACAGAACTAAAACGCTATCAAAATACTATTTTCAGTATACAAAAACTATTATTGCTAATATAAAAATAATACATTTTTTATTACGTTAGAAAATAAGTAACACTTGCTTTATCTAACTCACATTATGACATACAGAAAAACAGTTCTTTCTTCCATTACAACATAAATAAACATTGCACGCAGTACATTTTGAGTGGGGTCTAGCTTTGGCAGAACAATTTTCACAACTTCCTCTTTCTTTTGAACTTGCTCTACATTTTCGTGGACGCTGTAAATTGGAATATTTATTTATCAGACCTGTATTTACAGAACGACGAAAATCTGATAGAATATTGAGAAAAAACATATTGAGCAAAAACTAACATTTTCGCTTAATCTAAGTGTCAAAAAAGAAGCAAATTCAAAAATTCCTGGAAGCCGTGTTTATTGAAATCAAGGAATGAAACTTATTCTAAATTAAAGCTCAAAGTTTTCTCTTTAAAATGATGTATAATAATTGTTGGGTTGGATTGGAAAAATATTGAGAAAAAAAATGTTGAAACAAAACTTACATTTTCGTATAACCTAAAAGTGTCAAAAAAGATGCTAAATTAACAATTCCTGGAAGCCGTATTTATTGAAATTAAGGAATGAGACTTATTCTAAATTAAAGCTCAAAGCTTTCTCTATACAATGATGTATAATAATTGTTGGGTTGGATTGGTAAAATATTGAGAAAAAAAATGTTGAAACAAAACTTACATTTTCGTATAACCTAAAAGTGTCAAAAAAGATGCTAAATTAACAATTCCTGGAAGCCATATTTATTGAAATTAAGGAATGAAACTTATTCTAAATTAAAGCTCAAAGCTTTCTCTATACAATGATGTATAATAATAATTTTAAAATAAAGCTCAATGCTTTCTTTTTAAAATGATCTGTAATAATCACACCTAATAACCAATCACACCTAATAACCATTTATCAAAGTGATACCTTTTTGAACAACAAAATTCAGCAAGACTAATTATCACTAAACTTCTAACCTCACATCTGAGCGAATAAGTTTAAATATACCTAAAAGCCCTACAGTGCGGATTGTGTCATTTTTTATACAGATTCTTTCTTATATAGTAGAAAGTACCGACAGCTCTAAATACGCCGAATAGATGACTACAGTTTAAAATGAGTGTTTAAAACTACCGGTACTGTAAAGTACCATCGGGACACAAAGGGTTAAGTTAGTGTTCTCTGTTAGAATTTTAGTTGAATACAGTTTATTTTGAATAATGCAGTTGTTATCGAACGCAAATAAAGTAAAAGAAAAAAATAAAATTAATAGTGTTAAATTCAAAAATTTGAGAAAAATGCTTGAAATATTTCATTTTGACTCATACATAATAATGATCTTAAATATTAAGGCGCAACTAAAACAGTTGTAAGATGTTTAAACTCTTATTTGTGCTGCTACAGTCTTTATACTTTCCTGAAAAAAAGTGTTTTTTGGGGATGGCTGCTTTTGATATTAATGTACTCAAATATAAGGTAGAAATATTCAGTGATTACAATAAACGCAATTTTCGGCCTTAAGACATTTAAAACTCAGTACCTTCCTGGCTAAAAATGATGCTTGCCTGTAGATTAATTGTATTTTAAGTATTTAAAAAAAAATTAGTAATAGGTTTGTGTGACTTTGTTATAAACTTATATAAAAAAACAAAATTACCATATTCAATTTGATGCAAATTGTAATTGCAACATGAAAATTATGAATTTTTAAAATACCTTAGTATGTGACTTTCTTAATTTTTAACTGTTTTTTTTAACAAATATTTATCCTCCACATACTAGGTAAATTAATCTCACATACCCCTCCTGGTATATGGAGGGAATCATATTAACTAGATAAAATATGTAATTTTTCAAGTATATTGAACTAAAAAATTTAAGTATTTTTGCTTAAGTTTTTTAAGTATTTCATTTTTACCTTATCTCATCTTGATTTGGAAACACACTATAAGTTTGCACCAATTTTTTAGGAAATCTATCTGAAAGTTTTTCCAAAATGTTCGAACCCATCCCTGATCCAGTTCCCCCAGCTATTGAATGGCACAAAACAAACCCTTCCAAGCTATCAGATCCATCAGCTTCTCTATCAATAATATCAAAGATTTCTTCGTTTAATTTTTCACCCTGAGAATAACCAGCAGCCCAATTATTACCAGCACCACCCCCATTTTTAGATAAAAACACATTTTCTTGGTTATAAAGTTTAGAATAAGGTGAGTTCATGATAGTGTTGATCACCCTGGGTTCTAAATCGAGTAATACTGCCCTGGGGATGTAATGTTCGTCATCTGCTTGGTAGAAAAATACATCTTTTCGATCTGCTCCTTCGGTAGCAAAAGCTTCCAAAATTCCTTCAGGATTTATACCATGCTCAGCACAGAGACGTTTCCAAAACTCAAAACCAACTAAAAACGATATTACTGTATGAATAACATTATTTATAAATACCTTTTTTATAAAGGAATTTTTTGTGTACTAGACCTAACCTCAAACATTTTATAACACTTACTTTGATTGCCACATTGGCCTAATTGAAGTGTTATCATTTCACAGGGCATTGTTACGGCGATTTTAGTCGATTATATTGTTGTAAAAGTGCGTTAAATTTCGGTTATATTCCAAAAATGGGTGATTTCTTATATTTAAGCGGTTAATTGACTTGACTGATGGAACGCACATTTGAATCGTTTCAAATGATTTTGATTGGTTCGTTGCTCACAATTTCATTGGTGCAATTTTAAAAATGGTTGCTATTCTAGGTGTTTATTGGTTCATTTTGAATGTATAATTATGCGGGAATTTCAAATTAGAATTGTTGGAGGATTTTCTTTTAAATGATAACTTTTGATATTAATAACAGAATAACAAAAATATTTATTTATCTAATCATCTAACAAGAAAAATAAATGTAACTAATAAGGTTATAAAGTAAAAATATCTTTTTTGGTTAGTTATCTTGTGGTGCGTCTTCTTGTTTTTAAACTTTTTTATCTATAATTTCAGTAAACAACACTTTTATGATAAAATAAAACTAAATTTTTATTAAGAATTATTCTTTATTTGTGTAAAAACATTTCACCCAAACGTAACATATAAAAATATAAGAAATTAAAATATTTTTTACAAATTAGCATGTGGACGTCTTTGAGCTTTAAGTCCATCGGCGATTTTTTGTCCAAACGTAGCGTCAACTTGGCTGAAATTCTTAACTGCACGATCTTGAATAAAATCGGCAGCATTCTTTAAGTTACCAACAATATTAGAGACTAATCGTTCCCTTTCTTGTTCGTTCAAAGTTTTCTGGTAGAAAACTCTTGGTTGAGAGAAGTTATCTTCGTCGCCAGTATCGTAACGTTTAGCATCACCACTAACAGGGATTGGTGGCGAGAGTAATTTAGCTCTTGGGCAATTTTCTGGGCCAGCAAAGCTGTTGGGATGGTAATTTGGAGCTCCGCCTTGATTGTTCATGCATTGAGGACCATCTCTTTGGTAATTACGGACTTTGAATGGGCAATTAACCGGGAATTGCAAATAGTTAGTACCAAGACGATGTCTATGAGTGTCACCGTAAGAGAAAAGACGTCCTAACAACATCTTGTCGGGAGATGGTTCAATTCCAGGAATCATATGAGCTGGACTGAATGCAATTTGTTCAACTTCTGCGAAATAGTTAGCTGGATTTCGATCGAGAACCATTTTACCGACTGGGATGAGAGGATATTCACCATGTGGCCAGATTTTAGTTAAATCGAATGGATTGAATTTGCATTTTTCAGCTTGTTCCAAAGTCATAACTTGAATAGAGAAGTTCCAGCTTGGATATTCTCCTTTAGCAATTGCATTGTATAAATCTTTGATGCCATAATCGGGATCGATACCGGCGTATTCATCAGCTTTCTTGACATCTAAATTCTTAATCTTTTGTGCAGTCTTGTAATGGAATTTACAATAAACAGGTTTTCCTTCGGCATTAACCAATTTAAATGTGTGGGATCCATAACCGTTCATGTGCCTATAACCATCAGGAATACCTCTATCACTGAACAAAAACATAACTTGATGTGTTGTTTCTGGTCTTAAAGTAATAAAATCCCAGAACATATCAGGATCCTTTAAATGAGTTGCTGGATTTCTTTTTTGCGTGTGGATAAAGCTGGGGAAAAGAATTGGATCTCTAATAAAGAAGATCGGTGTGTTATTTCCCACTAAATCCCAAATTCCATCGTCAGAATAGAATTTTACGGCAAAACCGCGAGGATCTCTTACGGTATCAGCAGAACCAGATTCTCCTCCTACAGTTGAGAAACGAACGGCAACACGTGTCTTTTTACCAATCTTTTCAAAAACTCGAGCAGCAGTGTATTTTGTAATATCATGAGTTACTTCGAAGTAACCAAAAGCACCAGCTCCTTTAGCGTGTACAACACGTTCTGGAATTCTCTCACGGTCGAAATGAGCGATTTCTTCAACAAAGGCAACATCTTGAAGGAGAATTGGTCCTCTTGGACCAACGGTCATTACGGCATCTTTTTCAATAAGTGGCACACCATGCGCTGTTGTAGCCGGACTTGTGTCTTTCTGTTAAAAAAAAAAATAACAGGTTATTAAATGTTTTATTAAAATTTTTAAAAGTGAAATTGCAAAACATGTAAAGCGATAAGAAAAGAACAGTTTTGTTGCTTTTTGTGCTTTCTTAAAACCCCCATTAGATAAGAAAAATCCTCTACCATTAAAACAACACAGAGAAGGAGAAATTGCACTAAGCTTTCTATTTTGCTCGATTTTCTAAACACCTACTTGCCTCAGCATGCACTTTATTGTTGTTGCAGCATATAGCTCGGAAGAGGCCGTTTTGATCGCCCTTAATTTGTTATAAAAAATATTAGTGTGACAATTTAAATTTGTTTTTTAATTTTTTTCGTTTAATATTGCGTAGCTTGTTTACAACAAACTTGACCTTCGGGAGTGATACACAAAAAAAAGGTTGATAATTTCCATTTGGATAATGAATGTTTTTCTAAACGAGGAAGATAAATTTAGAACGTTATCATGAGAATAAAATTCGAGCATAAAAAATCGTATAAACGAGTTTAGTCGAATTTTAAGAAATCATAAAAATTATTGATCTAAAGATATAATTGATTTAAGGCCTAATTATTATTATCTTTCTTTTTCAAGGCTTTTTCTACGTAAAAATTAAAAATGATCGATGTGAAAAATATAATAAAAGCTTAAAACATACAGGTTTTACAAGAACGGCAGATAAAGCATAACGAAAAATAAATATTGGATAATCCAATATGTAACATAAGGTATTATTAGTGTGAATCGATAACTGTACTGATAAAAGAGAATAATAATACATCGACATCATGAAATGCAAACATCATAAATTCAAAAAGAGAATTTTTTAAGTAACCAAAGACGAGATATAAATTTCTGCAATAATTATTGTGGCGTGGGCGACAGTGAGCACTGGAGTTTAAGTATTTTTATGGACTAAATTTAATTAGTGATTAATAATAAAAAATTTTAATCATATTCACTCAACAGAATTTTAAATATTAAAATAATTAATCTAAGAAATAAATATAAATCAATAACAGATGTGTAATTTATAGATTATTTAATATGTATGATGAGAAACGCTGTTCTAGAAAATGCTAATTTCAAATTTTATTTACAGATTAACATTGTCATTTGATCAATTTTAATCTCAAAGACGTACACTAGAGGAATTTCAATCAACGAGTTTAAATTGTGTTACCAAATGTTGCAAAATCAATAACAACACTTGATGTAAAATTATCAGTTAAGATACCAGATATCATTTATTTTTCAATTATACAACATTTATCTTGATACTTAAAATATTTTCGTGTTTGTAATTTAATATCTAAATCAAAACGAAATTAATTACAGAAAAAAAGATTAGATTGTTGGGGTCAAAACCCAACAAAAAAACGCAAGAATCTTTGCAAGAGTGCATTAAATTAAGTACATTGTTTCTTAAGTTGTCATGAAATAATTTTGTTTTTGACTCTACTAGTTTTGCTAAATCTTAAACATTATCAGGAATCGTGTCAAGACAATAATACGAACAGAATTTTGTAACACAATGAATTACAAATAAATAATACATAGTTCCTCCATAAATACACTTTCTATGACAATAGAGGTAAGTACAATAGAAACAACAAATCCATAATCGACTATATCGTTACCAACCATATGTTCCTCCTCCAACAAAGAGTAGACATAAGAATGCTGTTTTTAGCTAACATTGATTGTTTAGTGCTCGATCATGAAAGCACTAAACAACTTTACTCAGACCGATGCAAACTACACACTACTCTAATCCCAATAGTGTAGCTTGACCCAACTCAACCCAACCCAACCTAACCCAATAGTGTACCTTGACAATCTTAACACAGCATGGCAAAAATTTAATGCAAAAGAAGCTTTACGAACACGTACGATAACCTAGAACAACAGACCAAACAAATAAACTTTGGTTCACTGCAGAAGTCAAGAACATCACAAAGGATAAGAAAAAAATATATTTAGAATACAGGGAATCTCTAACACTAGAGGACCGAAACAGATATATAGAAATAAAGAACAAGGTCAACAATACGGTCCGAGAAATTAAAGAAGAATACTGGCAGAAATTCAGCAACGAAATGGAGGCGGATATGTACGGGAAACAAAAACGTGTTTGAAAAGTACTAAGGGGCATGAAACAAGAAACAGACGAAACAATACAACTAAAAACAAAACGAAAAAAACTACAGCAATTTATACACAGATACGAAAAATCCATTGGAAGCACAAATAGAAACCACATAAAATGACTCCTCCGATGAACACAGGCAAATAACCAAAAAGCAAGTAAGAGAGAGAATGAGAAAGCTCAAAAACAAGAAAACTCTATTAAACTAAGATTAGAACTAAAACTAGAACTAACACTAGAAACTTTCGGGTTTTGAAAGTTTCACTTCGAACCAGTTTCTGAAGAAGGTTGCAACATGGCATCCGAAACGTCAAACCTTTTATTAAAAGACGCACGGTAAAACTCGAAAGTTTCTAGTGTTAGTTCTAGTTTTAGTTCTAATCTTAGTTTAATTCACACCGGCGGTGAAAGCCTTCGTACTTATAAGAAAACTCTATATCAAGACAACATACCAAACGAGCTGTTAAAATACGGAGGAACAGCCAGAATCCACGAAACTGTTCAATATCGTATTACAACATAAAAAAAAGTCCAGAAGAATGGAAAAACAGCGTATGGGTACTATACCCATCTTTAGAAAAGGACAAAAAAAACAGACTCAGCTTAAAACTTATTCAGCCCTAAAACTTCTAAGATCATTCCAGACAAGATAGCCTCAATAATGCCAATGGCCGACGAACAACAGGGATTTCGAAGTGTAACTAAAAGATATTATCACGATTGCGGAAAATAACAATATGTGGAAAGAATACATAAACAACTTATTATGGACATGAACATAAACACAACAACCCAAACACAAACAATAATATTCAAAAGATAATAAACAGATTTAGACGAATTAAATGAACATTACAACACCAATATTTTGAATAAAGTAATAATAGATATTTATTCAATGTTATAATACCTGAAATTTCCAACCTTATGGCACACTTCCTTCAAACCCTAACTACTACTCGTAAGAAGACGCAAAGAAGACGTACTACGTTACGTCTCTTTGCAAAAGTTAAATGCAGGAACATCAAGCAATCTTCTTTAGAAATTTTTATTTTAAAATCTGAAAAACGTAAACATTTCAAAACCTTAAGTTATTGTTATGAAGAATTATCCAAAATTAATCGATGTCTTCGAGAAAGAATGCACTTTATAGAGATTGAGGAGATCTTGGACAACATCAAAACTTATATTAAACAGGCAAAAAATGAAGACAAGAGAAAGAAGAAAATAAAGCTACTTGCACTGCAGGAAAGAAGCAAAGTAAAATATAATTATAAACCTTACCGACATGAACAGGGGTTATAAGTTTTCCTTAACACCAAATATTAATTTACCTTTAATAACAATAGACTACGACAATATCATTAAATATAATCCCGAATATAATAATATTTAAAAAAAAGAACTTATTCCATATATTAAAAGTGTAGAAAAGAAACCTAATCACAATAATTTTTCTCAAATCCAACAATGGAAAAATATAAAGTCTATTAAAGACAAATTGAAACAAAATATTGCAATTTATATAAAAGCAGACAAAGGGACTGGCATCGTTATAATAAATAAAGATGTATATATTAAAAAGCTAATGTATTCATGAAAGATAACAACTATATAGAACTTGTGAAAAATCCCCTAGATAAAATAATTCTTAATACAAAGAAGGTTATAAATAGATGCAAAGATACCTTGGTTAAATTTACGACTTACATAGATAATAAAAGTAAAATAGTTACCTCATCAATTATCAGCACATTATTCATTCATATGAATCCTAACATACCTAAACCATATGCTCTACCAAAATTACACAAACAAAATATGCCCATCAGGCCCATAACGTCATTTAATAACTCCCCAACACATAAACTCGCAAATTTCATGTTAAATATTTTCAAAGAATTAAAATTCAAACCTACATACTCTATATCGAATACTAACCAATTCATAAAAGAAGTTGAAACATAGATCTTACAAGTAGGTATTTGATTTCTTTCGATGTAGTGAATCTATATTCTAACGTTCCAACAGAATTTACTGTGGATCTCACTGACAAGCTATTTAGCGATCATTTTGAAGATGAAACAAATATAAAAGATTTTATTGAAATCCTAAAACATATAGTTACACAAAATTATTGCATTTTTAATAATAAAACTTACAAAATATCAGAAGGTTTTACCTATGGGCATGCCTTTATCTGGTATACTCGCCGATATATTTTTAGACTATTTTGAAAACCATCATATTATGAACACTAAAAATCTTTTCAAAAAGCATATAATTAAATGGATAAGATATGTGGATGACGTTTTTTGTATATGGGAAGGTAATCTTAGTGATTTAGACGAATTTCATAAATACCTCAACCAATTACACAATAAATTAAACTTCACCATCGAGTTAGAAAATAATAGTATTAAATTTTTTTTGGATCTTAAAATAAGCAACATTGAAAACAGATTGGATTTTAATATTTATAGAAAACCTAGTTCAGTTGATACAATAATTCCATATGATTCTAATCACCCCTTATCTCATAAATTAACGAATTTTTAATTACCCTGTATCACAAGAAAATAAAATGGATGAATTTAACGACATAGACAAAAATGTAGTAACAACAAAGGTAAAAGAACGAACAAATATTATTGAAATTATTCCTCCTCATAATACTCCACATTGTCAATTATAACTTGTACACTTTTACAGAAGAATGAAGTTGTTTATTAAAAGATTACAAACTCATCTTTTGAAAAGTAAAAATATAAGTTTTTGATGTGATGCTATCAAAATCCACTCATTAATTGATCATCAATTATCGTCATCTTATCTGATTCCTGATATATTTTTTGATATTAATCAAGTTTGCTTTCGTGTAACTCATAATCGAAAATGAATAGGGAATACAGAGTAATTGTTTATAAGAAACCAAGGATCATGATTAGCTCAATTCTATAACTTTATTCAAATAGCTACAAGTGTTATTTTCTAGATGCGAAATAAAAATGCCTAAAATCTCTAAATAGACTATTTTATTTTATCAAAATCGAGTTTAACACAGAAACCAATATTAAAGTTATCTATAAAAATTTATTCTTAATTTACAAAAACGTTATATTATGTTGTTCCAGATTTTAATGGGAACACAACAATTTAAAAAAAAATGTTTATATAAGTATAGCTATAATAATACAGTGGCTCTCATATAAGAGATAGCACCACGGCAGTGACCTTTTTGATCAACTTATATTTTATCTAAATAACCTTGTAGAAACCTCGATATGTATTTTATTTTGTGGCTTTACAGACCTTGCTAATATTGTAAATAATGTAGGTTAGATTTATAATTCATTATCAGCAAGATATCATTTTGAAAGTAATTTTCCATTCATAAAGACGCCCAGTGGCAATTAAGAATGTCACCAAACATTCATAACATTCCTATGAACTAATGAATCGTTCTATGGACAATTTCAAAGGGCATCACGAAGTTCACAACAACCTTCTTAGCCAAGGATTTGCGTTTCTATAATGCAAATACATGATGAAAACCGAACTGCTACATTATTTTATTCACATCATCTAAGTGATCTGATAAAACAAATCTCAATTGGAATTCTTAACATTTCATTTAGAATTGTAACATTCCAATTGGAATTCCAGATTAACCAACTTCAAACAGAACACTTCGACGATAACTCAGCAAGTTTAATCTGGCAGATAGATCTGTGGAAATTACTGTGATGATTTCATATCAATTGTACAAGATCATTTAGCTGACATTGGATCATAATGTAATCCTAAAGGAACTGTCAGTAGGTATGTTCACGAGAAATTAGACCCTCTCTGGAAATTCATCTCTTAGCCCACCATTTAATATAATATGTGATGGAAATATAAATATCTATATAGTACAGCTTCTACTTTATATAAAACAATATACAATTTAGTATACATATTTATATTTTTTTTCAGTCTAGTAGTGTGGCATAATTCAGACCTTTCAGATTGTGATTAAAACGCCATATTGGTGTCAATATGAGCAATCTTAATGTACAGAATAGATGTACAAATAAAAAATACCAAATTTATATCTATTCAAGGAATTTAACTTTCTTATATTGAGTAAATGTTAAGGCTGCACAGTTCTGAAAAGGCAGAAGAACGCCAAAAAAGGATGACACATAAAAGTAACATAACAGACCGAACGGAGTAGATCTAAATACTATAGTATGTAATTACATAATATACATAACATGTAAATTAGCCATCATAACAAAAATCAAATCCAAAACTTGATATTTTAAGTGTGTACCATAATTATATTTATGTATAAAAAACAAAGGCATCAAAAAAAGTCTGTTGCAGATTTGAAAGTTCACATCCAAGTACAACGTTCATAAATTTGTTATTTGGAGAGTATCAAGAAAGTTAATGTTGGCAAAAAGAGAACTTGTGGAGTTAGATATGTTGATCTTTCTTTAATTACTCTGTTTAACACAAAGTGGGCTAATTATCATAAAAAATCTTGTAACAGTTGTAGTTCCTGTAAACTATATTGTAGAATTAAGAATAATTATTAGTATAAAAGTATTATAATATTAATATTTCTGTAGTAGTACATTCAAATTATTTATTAGCATGCCACTTTTAATGACAAAGGAAATTATTTGAAGAAGGAAAGAAAGAAAATTCCAGCGTTGGTCGTGTTCAACAAGTACAATCATTGTTAGTAATTATATGTATAAATAGTTTGGCAAGGACATGTAAAACAATTTTGCAATTTAAACGCAATTACTAATAATATTGACGGCGACATGTCCAAATACGTAGTATCAGTTGTCGTTTCTTGCATGATCAATTGTACTAACTAAACATCTGGACATTATGTGGAATTTGCTATACCCAAACATAGTCGTATCATTCCGATTTAAAAGTTAAACTATGGTTGGTATTTTGATCAGAAAGTATATAAGTGCAGAACTTTTAAAATATATCAATAATTCAATTTTGTTTGAATGTTTCTGAATTTATAGCCAAAGTTTTCTCTTTTTGTTTTAGATTTTTTAACCATATATAATTGAAGTTAAAACTCAGATTTTGAAAAACATATTACAAATTTTAAAAAAACAAGATAAGTTAATCCAAAACCAATACGATAATATTATTAAAAAAATAATGTACAAGAGATAATTGTAAGATTTTAAATTCTAACTAAATTAGATTATTAGGATTAAATTTAAAATTTGATTCTAATAAAAATTTTTGATAAATCACGTAACGAATATTTTTATAATTTAATAAAAACATTTACAAACTTTTTCACACAAGACCACATTTTGTAGTGATATTTAAAATAACAATTATATATTAATTAACAACCCACGCTAAATAAAATATTAGCATTACTTAACAAATCGAAAAAGGACACACTTTTAGAAAATATTTTAAATTCATCGTTTAAATTATACGATCAAATAGTGTTAAATCCATTAACATTCACTTTAACCGTACCATTACTTCACATAAAACTTTGAACCCGATTATGAAATAATACAAATTAAATCGAGACTTTTCTGGAAAATAATTTCAAACCAAATTTTGATTCATAATGAATTTTTGAATAACTAAACTTAACGGCAGGATTAAAGAATAGGTTTGTATTATTGTTAAATCATTCGTGAAAGCAATTTTGAGAGACCTACTTTTAACCCAGTGGAAACTCAAAGTGGCCGGACAACTTCGAAGTAACGGTAGAAACCTGTTGCCTTCCATTTCTAAATAATCTTTTTGTAAAAAAAATAGCAAAATGAACTTGACCTGAGAATGATTTAACAAGTTTCAAAAAAGTAAATAAATAGGATTGTTAGAACATGTAATCGGTTTAAAATGAAAATGCTTAGATGTTTGTCCCAGAGATCTATATAAAGGTCAAGCCTGTTAAGATAAAATTTATTTTTTTGAGTATTAATCTATCAGCGTCACAACGTCCAACTTATATCAAAGAATCACCCAATCAGTCCCTCTAAATATCTATATTTATTTTATGTAATCGCCCATTAATTATAAACAATGATTTAACTGGTTATATTTTTAAACCTCATGAATTTTGTTGTTTTCCTTAGATTTAAATTTTAAATAACAAAAACTACATTACAACATTCCATTTACAACAGCGGATTAGTAGCAAAAAATTAACTACTTTATTTTTGTGGAAAATTTTGTTATTCAATTTTGCTTACCTGCAATTCAGTTTTTTGCTCAATTAATTGATTTGCGGCTTTATCACGTCCTGCCATGTTGAAGTTATGAAGCACCTCTTCTCACACAACAACAAATGGAAATGACAACTTGAAATACGGGTTGCAGCGTGTTAAGACTCTGCTTTATATGCCCTATGTATTTCAACGCATGCGTTTTCACGATTGTACAACTTGCACAATTTTATCTACACGCAACCTATTTTTTTTTATATTGTACACAGATTTTCTTGATAAACTAAATACCCTGTTCTTAAAATTCCGCTCCATAAATAGCACCTTTTAATTTGTTATAATTTTAAATGAAGATATTAAAAATAAATGAATTGGTTATGAAGTAATAAAATAAATAATTATGTAAAGTTACTTATTTCAGTATTCAGATGGTTATAGAAATTGATAGAAATTTTTGATTAATAAGTTAATTTTAGTTTTCAATTAAGATTTCTTAAATTGATTCTGTTGGTTAGCATATATTCGCAAAGTTTACCTTGAATAATTTAGAAAAGTGCAAATCATTTATTATGTGGGAATAATAGGCGACCTGAAACCAACCAGTTTCATAATACAACTCTATAAAATATTTGTTTAAATTTAGATTTAGATTAAACATTACTATTATTGTTAATTATTTATCTATTCTGATGGACACTTAAGCTTAACATAAAGTTAATCTTTTAAAATTAAGATTATCTACAAATAAAACTTCATTGTTTAAAGTGAAACAGAATATAACATAACAGAGCATATTCTATCTGTAAACATCCACAAATAGCTCTATAAATACCATCCTGTTGTATAGATGCGCATTTGTATAATCACGCAAAATAAATTTAAATTCCAAAGGATCATCACGAACATGATGACATTAACAATATCTTCGTGACGACGTCCTGAAAATATTTTATCTACATTCTCTATGCTATTTACGTAAAATAAGAAATTGTTATTGTTATGTTGTTGTATTAATTAACAATAAGCAAAGAGATAAGAATTCATTTTTTCAGATTTTATGTTAACAATTAAATCATAATGAAGAAAAAAAAAATTAATAAAATTGTATTAAAAATGATCTGGTTAAAGTTCATATTCAGTCAACTCATTTTGCAGAGATGATTAATTGGTCACATATACTTAAACTAAAATTTAACCTAAACTGGCCTAAATTTTGAACTTATCCAAGATGTCTATGTATAATTTTCGTATTGCATACATTTTCTTTTTTTGTGTAAAAAATATTAATAAATATATATCATGTAAATATTGCAAATAATATTATGTTCTTTAAAAAGTTTGAATGCAAATCAATAAACCATAGGTGAATAAAACAGGAGCCCTACATGCGTCAGTAGACGCATCTTTCTTAGATGCGTCTTCTTAGACGCATTCTTTGTATATCAAAGATATACAAAGAATGATTTTCTAGTTTCTTATTTTCCTATTTTTGTTTATAATTTATAGTTCTATTATTTTCTTTGCGCCTAGGCAAAGTCATAAATGAGCAACTTCTACATTCTCGATGACAAAAAAACAACGAGGAGTACAACAGCTCTGACGGGTAAATCGAGATACCCCAACAAATAGAAGAAATATTAGAAACCCGATCTAACTATAATCTAAACTGGTTTTACGAAATGATAGTAATAGCAATCATTGCACAATAGCAATGATAATAAGCACCATATTTTAGCTGTTACTACTTTGGTTGCTATACTAACCATACTATCATAAGTACTATCACTGACTGAGTCTACACTGAGGTATGATTGTGTAACAAGTCAGAAAAGATTTATATATTAAATTCGGGGAAGTACAGAAATATTTTGGGAGTGGGGACAACGGATGAGGGACTCGCGAGAAGAACAGAGAAGAAGAGTTAGAGGGTCGAGAGGAGAAAGAGTGATCGAGAGTTAGAGTAGAGACGTGGGTGAAGTGTGGGAGTGAAAACTGGAAAAGACTAAAAGAAAAAAAAAATGAAAGAGAAGAAAGCGGAAGAAAGAAGTGTCAATCAACCCCAAAAGAAACATTATGTGAGTACTGGATAGAATTGTTTACTGTTTTTTTGTTTTTTTATTTGATTTGTGTTTAAAAGAGAATAAATTAAAGTATCTCATTAATTAATTCAAAGTTTTGTTTATCTTTCGTATTTTGTTTTTTTGACATCCGCCGCTTGATCCTTTCCCCCTTATCTTTTGACACACTTGATCACGTTACGAGGCTCCTATAAAGAGTGGACCCGAGGAGAATACCCTTCTCCGAGAATATCGGGGGCCTCTTACCACCTCACGCTCGGGGGTGGTAACAATTGTCTTCTCTCTCTGTTAGACTTCCTATCTGACTTCCAAGTGACCAAAACATCCAGGCAAGGTAACTGTTTTGCAACTTCCATTTCCATGGTAAATTTGATCATGAATATTGTGACTTCAGGTGGTCTAGGAATTCTTGGAGACGCTCTTTTCCATCTGCCAGATCACAAAGGTGCCATCCACGTAACGAAGCCACCGTTAAGTTTCCTTGACGCTTTTTCTTCAAACGTCTCTATGTAGAAATTGGCTGCCCGTTCCCAAGGACAGTAGAATCTAACAGGACTGCTACATTCATTGTTGTGACAACCTGCCCGCAATCTACGTCACACCATTTTCCACGCCCAACTGTTGTTATGGTCTATGCGTTTGCTGTGTATATTTAGAGGTTATATCGTAGACGTATTCATATTATTTTTGAAGTTTTATGTTTTTAGACGTATTAATGACATATTAATACACAGACAGTTACCAGGCGTGGCAAATAGTGTGACGTAGAGTGCGGGCAGCCAACCCGTAGTGGACTACAAAAATACAATGGATGTAGCAGTCCTGTTAGATTCTACTGTCCTTGGCCCGTTCCCATTGTTCGTCGTATTCTCCCTACTAGCTAAAATATGTAAATGTTAAATAGTACACCACTAGCGTTACAAAATACTTCAGTAGTCTCGCAGGGATGAATTTTTGGCAAAGATCATCCACGACATCTTTGACTGCTTGAATTTCTGTAGATTTCACCAATTCTTTCATGTTTCTTATTATCTTCTCGGTTGGGTCCCTTTTGACTTTCTTCACTGAAATGAAAGGCGACATTCACGATGATTATGTATCTCTACTCCAACTCTACTGTCATCAAGGTAAGCAAACGCTGTGCAGGGTGCACTTCTGATTTACCCGCAACATTATACAAACTTTATCAAGTCTCGATTCCACAATGCTATTCAAGCGAATCTTCAAATTACATTGCCCATCTTATGTAAAATATATCAGATTTACTCGAATAAACCCAAATCGATAGAAAATTCTTGGTGATACACTGGGTTGTACTTCGAAATGGAAAAAAGCCACAGGCCACGTTCTTGAAGCGTCAGGAGACAGATCAAGTTGGAAAATGTAGATTTAATAATGTACAAACTCGAGTTGGTCGAAGAAATGACTGTTATCTGCTATCTGCCGCATAGGTACTTAGCCGCCAAAAAAAAACTGATATGAAAGACAGGAAAGTTGGAGAGATGTTTAGCAAGGACGTAATCGAGGTAAGCTGATCCGAGTATTTTTCGATTACCTAGGCGTCTGAACAGTCAAACCAGCAACTAATCATCTACATTGCCGATCATGCAAGAAACCTTGAATACTGGGTATAGGCAAATTTCTATAACGAACGTCTCTAAATGCCTCGAGGTTGATTGCCTTTACCACTCCAGATCATATCATACTCCGTGTTCATCCTAAAAACGTTCCGACAATATTCCTAAAAATTGACGATGTAGGAAGTTATACTTAAAAAATACGACGGGATACTCAAAAAAGTTCGACTTAGTTCACCTTGACGATGTCACCATCTTCAGCGCGATTGAAAAATAAAACTGCTGCACCTTAGGCTGGTCGTTTAATAGTTGCATTACACAATCTCCCAGAACATAGCAAAATCCAAGATGTTATCGCACCGTTGCGAATGGCTCATACATCAGTAACCGACAATTTATTATAAAAAGACAATTTCATGTTTTTCTGGCTCACGCAAACTATTTACAGTCGTTCATTTATCACTGATATATGTTTTATCTCCACTAACCCACCATCGCGGTGGATGTTGAAGAGTACGTTGCACCCAAGAAAGTCTGCAACGACGTTAAGCAAATTCGTTATAAGGATCTTCAATTGCATGCTAACGGCTGTTATGTGTCAGAAATCACACCACATCAACAAATTAAATCGAACGGATAATTTACTCTTCGCACAGATAGCAAAGAGAGTCTCTTATTGCTGAAGATTTTCGTGTTTAACATACGAAATACTAAATTAGCTCGTTGATTAACTCGTGAACACATACCCGACGAAACAAACTTAATGCTTGCACTCGAAGTTTAGTTTCACGGAGGAAGAGACTCTCTAAAAGCCGGGAGAACCGGGTACCATTTACTAAATAATATAGTACTGAAATTCGCAGATCAAGGCAAGCCAACAGGAAAGCCAAGACGCACAACGTCTATCCACATCACGGTGAACATTCGCAATGAGGAACAGATGCCATTTTTACCATTTTAAGAAGATTTACTACGACCAGTGATGGGCGCTTGGTAAATACCCGGCGTTTAGGTATTTCTAAAATGGGTATTTACCCTGGGCCGGGGTAAACAGTCGGCCAAACAGTGGGTATAAAAGTAAAAATATATCAGATTCCAAAAAAATATGAATCAAAGACGTATTATCATTAAACGAATCTGTCGTAATTTAGATTAGATCAAGTTACTATGATTATTATCATCAAGCAGCCCTCTGCGTCCATTGTTGGACATAGACCACAACTATTCTGTTCCATTTGATTATATTCTGTGCTGTCTGAAGCCAATTGTTGGTCATTCTTTTGACGTCTACTTAGTCTGTTCGCTCGCGGTCTCCACTCAAGCAATCGTTTTGCCCAGTTCCACTTAAGCTTTGCCACAATGTTGATCACATCATTTACGCCAGTTCTTCTTCATAGGTCTTCATTTCGTATATAGTCCCTCAGAGTTAGAACCAGAATCGACCTCTCTATCTATCCTCCTGGCAGTGGCTACCGTTAATGTTAAAGTTTCGGAGCCTTATGTTATAACC